AAATACCTACTACAAATGGCGCAGTAAATGTAGCATCGTGCTACAGATGGCGTTTACTGCGCCATTTGTAGTATTTTCTAAAACGCACTGTTAAGACAGTAGGTAAAAGTTGGTCTGTGTTCTGTCGGAGCTGTCTGCGACGCGCTGATGAGATCCAAAAAGACCGAAATCGCGATCCGCGTCTGGCAGTTTCGACAGAATACAGACCACTTCGAATTATTTTATTCGAATTATACGATTCTTTATCAGCCCTTTGGACATCCTCTGGACCACGCAAATACAATATCATCCACTTGATTCAGTTTATTCCAATGATTCCTTATCATTCCTTCCGTCCATGATATTTCTGAGTGATTCTTTTTTCGGAATCTCTCGTTGTTTTTGATCTTGTGTTTGAGTACTTGCTTATCACTGACTTCCGTTGCTTCTATTTTCATTTCTTCCAAGTGCTACAGTATTTTAGACTTCCTGGTCTTAATTCTCCTCTATGGTTCATTAACCTCTCGGGCTCCATTCTGCAGATATGTTCGAAAAAAACAACCCTGCTTTATCGGATTAAATCTAAGATATTTTCCAATTGGAGATATGGTTGCTTTTGTTTCTATTTTTTGGAGTTCCAGTGTCTTCATCAATATCTTTCTGTACATTAACTCTAACCTTTTGATTATGGTTGACGTTCAGCAGAAAGTGTGGCTTCAAAACTGCCTGGTACTGTTCAAGTTTAGCATTGAACGAGATCTTTCTCTTGTTGTAGATGCCCTTAGTTCGACTGACATGATGATGTCATAAATGTAAGCTTATATATGTGCTATGTACATCTTCTTGTGGAAATGAGACAACGTTTTATCACATTGACGCCATTAAATGTACATAGGCACTTATCTTTAGTAATATTGCACAGTGCACCGTTTTCATTACACGTCCCCTAACTTTCAAGCAGAATTAGCAATGCTGGTTTTCGACATTTAAGTTTATAGAACTGGAACGAATCTGGTTACTTACACTAACCTGATAAGGTAAAGTTCATCTAAAAGTTCACGTTCACGAATAACCCATTCCTACGAGTTGTATTTCTTCACATAGTACCTACCGATTTATGAAAACCTAATTAACAAGGACTAAATTAATTTCTTTACAGTTGTTATTAGTTGTATGTCAGGTTATCTATATAGTATATAGTCTAAATTATTGTAAAAAATATAAATTAACATTCATAACTACATCCACACGTAAGAAATATAATTTAAAGGTGAAAATTCATCAATCTACTTCATTAAAACCGAAATTATAACTCAATTATAGTCTTTGTTTTAAACTGTCCCGGCGCCTCCACCAAAATTTTTAACTCGAAATTTTAAATTTTAATAAAATAATTGGAATTGCTTAGTATTCTGCATATTTTGGAAGTAATAATGCATTAACAGATTGAACTATACATGTCTCACCTCTTTCTATAGCTACAAAGTATTATTTGCAGTTAATGTTAGGTCTTTTTAGACTCACTAACAAAACCCACATAAATAGAGGTGTAACATCTGTCGCTGCAGGGTTCTTAAGTGTACTTGGAGCAGTATTTCACCGGCCAAGCAGTTTATAAAATATAAATCGTACACATGAAGTAAATCCAAAGATATTTCCAAGTTGATTCTGAGGCTGACATAATGGCATAAGGAAGGTACGGTTGGAAAAGTTCGAAAGTTCATTTTTCTGTCTCGCGATCTAAAGCCATTCATTCTGTACTTGCGTGCATCATACTCGACGGTCCCGTTTCCCCCGACGGCGGCCTTTATCTGGAATTAATAATTCAAGGACGTCATCTTCAACTACACGTAGTGGTCGGCACGACGCTGCCGACGCTCGGGCGTCGATCTTTCTCTTTATATCGCGGAAAAGTTTTAATGTCAATGTATAAGACAGCGGACGATAAAGAATACAACTTTTCAGCCACGCCAGACATTTTGCGGACGATATCCCGACAACTTTGGTTATTTATAATCGAAAAGATTACCAGACGTGTAATTTATATGTGTACATTTATACATATATATATATGTGCATGAATGAGTGTATGTATGTATATGTGTCCCCTGGGACTGAGAAGGAACGCGTCGGCTGTCGCGTCCGGATTATAAGCGAAGCATACTCCCTCGAAAAAAGCACGCGGCAGAAATATCGTGGGGAGATAAGGATCCCCCAATGTAAACCGAATAATCGGTCCTTAAACTGCCGAAATAGCACTGTTAAATTTGACTCCAAATACGTTTACAACATATTTACATACGTTTAAAGTGATTTTACCGACGATATGAACGAATAATCGTTTCAATTTCTCGATCCATTTGGATCAGCTTGTAGCATTAATAAATATGTACCTACATAATTATGGAGGATACTCTAGAATGAATAGGAAGACGAAGACTATTATGGATGTCAATAAGAAGAAAAGGATAGATAGGATGACAGAACAACTTCTGAGACGTGAAGGATTAATCAGAGATGTTGGAAGCAGAAAGAACAGTTAAGAGGAGTCGAGGCAAACCTACATTGGACTACTGTTCACCAATATTTAAGGACGTAGGATGTGCTAGTTTTAGGGAAACAGAAAGATTACCTCAGGATTGGAAAGAGTGGAGGTGCATGTTCAAGCAATCCTAGGACTGACGATCTTATGATAATTATGATGAGAGTCAGAACTGGATAAAGCTTTAGTACTTGCATTCAAACCTTTCGTAAACCAGTAGCTCAAAGTGCTTGAAGCACATTCATAATGTTTATCGATTTGAATCAATTATATTATCAATTGGTAAGTCTTTGGATTTTGAAATGTAATTGGGGCTTTAAGGACTAAAGCACTTCGGGCTTTGGACTTACGGCTTATAGAGTCCTTTTGCAGAGTGTCTGAGATCCAGATTCTGTATGTAGTGTAACGAAATTGAACGCATGGGCATGTTTAAGACGGTTGCTAAGAGTAATTGTAATTTTACCAAAATGTGCTGACGGTGGTCGTTTTAGCAAGGTCCTGGTTATGAAAGATCCTCTGTTTTTCATATGATACAGTCCCAAAAGCTAAAATCTAACCGTTCAAAACAAGTGACCAAAACGAGATGTGCCTATTACTGTAAGTTCAGGATGTGTTTTGAATGCCATGTTGCACTACATTTTTCCCGAATACACCCAAGACGATTTTCCGAACTGGTCCATAAAGAAAAGTTCAAGTAATAAGAAATGGAAAAGCTCGTTGGCATCTCGGCACCATCGTCATGGCCACTTCTGTAGCTAACATTAGTCGTGTGCTCGCTACACATCCACACGCTCGCGCTGGTAACTTTACAACAGCGAACAAAGAATTTACTGCACTAGAGTCCATTCGCCGAACGTAAGTTCGAAAGCTGTAGTGCTTGAGCTGCCGCTGCCACCGCCGCCGTTACACCAGTGTTCTAGTTTTCCACATTTCCGCCCCCTTTCCCGTTCGTCCGGCAGCCAGGGCAGCGTCGACATTTGACGACGAATGCAACCCCCAACCAAAACAACAACGTACGTTCGCGGATATTGTTGTAGGTAACTGTGTCCATGTAGACAAGCGACTTCGGTCCAAGTGGAAACCGCAACTCGGTCAAATGTCCACCTTTTAGAGCTTTTTAATGTTTATTAATGTTCATGCGGGACTGCATGCATGCACGGACAAGTTTTTATTTTTCCAATTAAAAAACGCTTAGTTTCACATTCTTATAGCTTTTTCCGTAATGGTTACTATTTATCAATTAAAATTTCTCGTTTTTGTAACCGAGCCGTAAAAGAGTACCTGCCCTTTTTAAAAACGGATGAATAATGAATGATCGACGTCGAAATGACCTTTCAGCGACGAATAAATTCGGTTTTAGACAACAATTACTACTAACACGTTTGCAGGATGAGCCTTGATTGAGCCGTAAATGAGTCCTAGTAATACGCTGCCTGCCACATTAAAAACGAATGAACGATGAATAATCGACGTCAAAATGACCTTTCAGCGACTAATAAATTCAGTTTTAGACAACAATTACCAGTAACACGTTTGCAGGATGAGCCTTGGGTGAGCCGTAAATAAGTCCTAGTAATACGCCGCCTGCCACATTAAAAACGAATGAATGATGAATAATCGACGTCAAAATGACCTTTCAGCGACGAATAAATTCAGTTTTATACAACAATTATGAGTAACACGTTTGCAGAATGAGCCTTGGTCGAGCCTTCAACGAGTCCTCATAATATGCTAGCTGCTAGCTGTCGTATAATAAACAGATGCATTTTTGACAAACCGAAGTCAACAAATATTTTATGGCCTCAATGCATACAGGTTCAGGGAACAATTATTATTAGTAGCACGTTTTAAGAATTAGCAAAAGGCGAGTAACAAAAAGAGTCCTAATTGAGCATTTTATGCTGTCTTAAAAACACATGCGCGATTGATTAAACGATGTTAAAATTAATCCATAAAAAGAAAAACCGTTTTATGTAACAATAATTAGCAGTACGTTTTCAAGATGAGTATTGGCCGAGTCATAAAAGAGTGCTAATAATGCTAAATGCTGCCTATTACATTTAAAAGATGTACCTACTAGTTAGAAAAATTGATAGAGAAATCGATCGTTCCCTATTGTTGCGGGGTTTAAATGTAGCAAATTAGGACGTAACGAGGAAATTTCGCATGTTAGTGTTTAATACAAAGGGCTCGCGGTGGTAAAATCAATAATAAAAGCAGTCGAGAATTCATGGATAGATGGCTTACTAAATTGAGTGTCCCAACCGTATATAACCAGGCCACTGCGTCAATAATGTCGTTCAACTGGAATTGTCATTCAAAACTGGTGACAATCGGAGAACAATAGATGAATGACGAACCAATCTAACGAAAATTTTTTAAACAATAGGGTAACAATTATATACCATCGATGACATTGACAGAAACGAATAAAGGCTTGATAAGTAAAAATAAAAAAAAAAAAGACATTAAAACTTACCAAAGAGACTGCGACTGCGGATGGGTTCAGTACCTAAAACAAAAGAGGGAAAACACATTAAACAAACTATATCCTTATTTTGAATCGTTTTCTTAGATGTTATCGTTATTTGAGATACGATTGTTTAGTGGTCGTCATCACGTACTACTGATCCATTTTCTCGGATTCTGTGTGTGATGAGTGAGTCATGTATGGACCCATTACATGGTCATCACGTAAGAGATCGATCGGAGAATGAAAGGAAAGGAAAGCTTTCTATATAATAACCTTCTTTTTGCCGAATACGATAAAATGCGCCAAACAAAAAGTCTCAGGCATTATCAGCCACTTCGTGAAATCATTTTGGTAGCAAATTCATTTTAACAGACCACTCAATATTTTATCGGGCGACTCCCTTCCGCGTGATCCGTTTATGAAAAAAGAAAACATTTCCTGTAACACGTTAAAATAGCTGCGCGATTGGATAACAAAAGATAAAAGATTTGAAGAAGTTGTTCGAAATTAGCGTTGACACAATATTGCATGTTTGAGTCGTATACGAGCGCGTGGCGAGTCAACGGCTAGCCTCAGTTAAACGCTTTCATTTGTCTTAGCAGAATAATATAAAATATATACAATATTCAAACACCTACAGAGAGTGGAAACTACATGACATTCGTCCGCATGATTCCAAGTCGAGTCGTGGACGAACATGTAGTGAGTCCAACAAGAGAAATGTGTCTTGGAACAAATTATATGGTGTAAAACATTGAACAAACTGAAGAGAAGACAAAAAGTAAGTCATTTATGCAAAATGGGTTATGTTTTTAAGATGAGTTGCAAAATAGCGCTTGGCGAGCCAAAAATGAGTCGCTGAATGAAAAGGCAAAGAGAATCGAATCAGTATTCTCTTCCATTCTCGACGGTCCACTACCAAAGGCGCTAAACACACAAAACTAGATGATAAGCTACACACAATTTCGTTAATCTTGGGCTATTCAAACGGCACGTGAGCTTTTCCCCGATTCAACGAATTTGTTCACGCGTTACATTCTACAATAACACGTATAAGTAAACGCCTGTTTCTTGTTCTGCAAATTTCCTCACGTTAAGCTACATGTGACACAAAAATACGTACACTCACATTCGTGACAAAGGCTTAATAACATAAAAAGGACAGGATTCGTTGCCGGAGGCACGACTCAAAGCGAGAACTGATTAAAGGACGAAGACGAAGAAGAAACAGGAACATATTTCAGATTAACATATTTATCACATGAATAACGTATCTACGTACATACATACATACATACATACATAAAGAAAGCTTTTCAATTTAAAAGGGTTCAGTGTTGATCAAAAACTTATTGGATCGTCTTTGTTATTTTAAAACACTTTCTCCTTCCCTGTACCACGAAAGCTTTTAGTTTCAAATAACTTATTATCCTGCACTGATTGATGAAATTTCCCATTATTGATGGTACAAGCTGTAGCACCTGCACACGTAGTAATTTAATTCGGTTTAAAGTTGAAACCGTGACGTTCGCGACTGTTTTACTGTTTTAATATTCAACGTAATGTGTGTCAAGTGTAAACCAAGCGTTAGAACAGATGTCGGTGCAAGCATAGTGAAATGCAGTGGGTGAAGGCGACGTCGCGTCGTACGCGCCGGAGACGACGCCTGCGACGCCATCAACTTGAGGAGAACAACGCAAACAATCTGAAATAGCTGCACGCTAGAGAGAACATCCTTTATGCAAATGTAATGTGGACGAGAAACATCATAGTTTAAAGACGGTGGAAGGCGAAGAGAAGATGAAACTGGCTGGCTGTGTCTTTAACGCAGAAGGCGCAACTTATTTTGTTTGTTTAAGAGATACGACGCGACGCGACGCTATAGCAAAACTAGAATCTATCGGGACAGAGACAATATTAAAAAGCGTCGGTTAATAACAAGCAAGCGGCGAAACAAGCTTCCAAAGGTCCTATGCGGGTACGACAGGCAGAAATCGACGATAATCCAATTACAAAAGGTGTCATGTCGCTCATCAGGGAATACGTAATAAATGTGAAGAAACCCATTGCTAGAAACGCGGGAGAACGGAACCTAAAATGTTGGGGATATGGTAGGACTAGTCATTTTGCTCGGGACTGCAACAACTGCAATGGTCGTCCATAGGGCGCATAAGTCGAGAGTGCCCTTCAAACAAATCATGGCAGTCGGAAAACTAAGATCAGCCAACTTTATGAGACGCGAGATGACTCATTCTCACCAAACCACCGAAGAAAGCATCTTTTCAAGATTGGACTGTGCTAACTCATTATCCATAGAATGCCCTATAAACCAGCACAATGTTCGGATGGTTATTGACACGGGAGCATCCAACACCATCGCTTGACCTGATGAAGTATCGGAATGGAGAATTGGACCTTTGACCAGAAGACCGACGTTAACTACAGCCACCGAAGAGACTTCACCAATGGAAATTAGAATTGGAAATGGTATCTTATCCAATTGGGTATTGGATGGTGTCATTATTGGATTGGATCTTCTTCAAGAACATGGAATCAACTTAAATTTGTGAGGAAGGGATGGTAATGTCAACTCCTAAGACGAATCTTACTGTCTACAAAGTGATCTTAGGGGAAGATTAGATAGGTACTATCGCGTCACTCCGGGAACATTATAAAAGTCAATACAGACGAAGTCGTCGGCACATTGATAGGGAATAATTGAACCAGACAATCAAGACTTCTCACAGAAAGCATTATTGGTGAGACGTACGCTCGTAAGAAGTGGAACATCATTGATACCCGTTAGAATAGTCATTTTGAAAGATTTTGAGCAAAAGATCAGAAAAAACAGAGTTGGGTGTATCTGAACCGGTAGCCGAAATCCACCACTGTGACTGGGAAGAAGAACCCAAGACGAAACCGACATCACTTCCTTCAAATTTATCAGAACTGATCAAACGACCAAGTAACATCTCTCATAACAAATAACGTGATTTAAGATTCAACCCACTACAGACTTTCTCAATTTAATGAGGAAGTGCTACCGTCACAGCTTCACTAGGAATCGCACTCGGGACCTTTGGATTTACACGCCAATGCTCCGACAACTAAGCTGCAAGAGTTCGATTCACGGCGAGGGTGTGACAGCAACCACAAATTTTCCTCATTAATTTGAGGTAATTTGTAGAGGGTTGAATATTAATTCACTTAATTTCCAAAAAAAGAGAAAGATCTACAGATGATGTCGTACATGTATACAGCTTATGAACAGGAGTACTCTACCATTTTAGAACCCTAATCCCAATAGAAACAATTAAACTCCGTTTCCCCAATAATCTCTCATAAATACCTATTGTACGTGTATGTTTTCGTTTATTATTACTGTTATTATTATTGTGTTCTGTTTACGTTTGATTAAAGTAATGTGACTGCACCGGCTGCGATAATATAATCAATTAGCAGATCCGCTGGAATAACGTACCGTTAATTCAATTAGCTGAGCAATCCTGTCCACCGAAAAAAAAAAGCACAATGATGTATAGTATAGGTTACCATTGGTAGTAGATCCGTTGGGTATTACTTATCTCTTTAATATCGGTTGAATTATGGTATGGGGATATTTTTGTCCAGGATTATCGATTGCTAATGTGAAAAAATCGTTGTTCCGGGACCTGAGAGTTAAATGGATGTGCAGCCGGTGCAGCGCGTCAGAGTTTGAAATTTCGCAGTTGCAGCGACAATAGTTCCCCGTGGACCCGAAGCAGCTTTTGCGCTTCAAATTTCAGCGAAGCGCTTCTCTTTTTACGTTTACAAATGTGCATACATACACATAAATGCACGAGTGTGTATTTTTATATGCGCTTGAAACAACGTAAAGTCGAAACGTGCGAAACACTAACACAAGGACAACAACGACCGAAAAGGACCGCAAGGATAATTTGCATTTAAAGAGACGGCGACGTATGGTGTGTTCGCCGTCTGGTCAGTTAACTGGTCGATGGAAACGTTGTTTACCGACCACATCCCTACACAAACTCCTCCGTTTTGTCTCAAAAGTTTGTCCCTTGTCCGTCCCCTTCACGTGACCGTGTATTTGAATTACAAATCGACTGCATGTTTACCATTCAACGCAAGTGTCGGATTTTCCAAGGAAACGCTGCACAACGGCACCGAAAACACAACCAAGCTGTCCGTAATGAGAACGAAATAAAAAAGACTACTCGGGTGTAAGTATTGTGATACATATTTTACCCTATTCGTCGCGTCATTTGTTGTTGTGAAAAAACAATTATAGACGCACATCTAAACAATATTAGATATGCCCACATTGCACTGTCATTGTTCAATTATACATCTACTACATGATCAGATTCAGCATTTTAATGAGTACTTGTTGAGTACAGCTTGTGGTAACAATATATACCAAGCGAGCTATATTCACAGCCTTATGTAAGCATAACGGAGATATATTGTATTATTGATTGATATTGATATAGTCAATCTTCGTGTGGGCATCTACTGAGTATACGATGGGGTAATGGCATCAAACAGGAGCGCTATCTTCACAATGTTATCTAAACATTATAGAATATGTATTTATTGAGTTCTGATAAATATCTGCTACATAATTCAATTAATCTTTACATGAGAACTAATTGAGTACATGTGTTGGGGTAAAAGTATGTTAATGAGTCCTTTTTGAGTATATGTTGGGGTAATAATACATAACAGGCGCTATCTTCACAATTTTATAAAAATATGATTGGATATATTGAATTTCTGGTACTGTATATCTAAAATTCAACTTCACAGTGTTATATAAACATTTTGGGGCATGTATTCTTTGAGTTCTGATAAATATCTGCTGCATAATTCGTTTAACCTTAAAGTATCTTAATGAGTCCTTGTTGAGTACATTTTGGGGTAATAACATATGTAGAGCAGGCGCGCTATCTCAACAATTTTATAAAAACATAGGTGGAGATATATTGAGTTTCTGATACTGTATATTTGAACTTCATCTTATGAAGTATCTATAT